CATTTTATTTTAAAGTCTTAAAAACTTTATGCTTTAGCCTTTTACATTTATTGGTTGTCAGAAAAGTCCTGACTCATTTTGCACAGAAAAAAATAGGTCATGACTTTTCCTACAACCCAATAGTTCTAAAGAATTTTTATTTTATTTTATTTTATTTGTTGTTATTATTATTGCTATCATTATTTTTCATTTGAGCAGTGAGAGACAGAGAGAGAGAGAAAGAGAAAGTGAGAAAGCAAGCCACCATGTCCGGGACTCAAACTCCCATGTCAGTAGGCCATGTGGGAGTCTAGCACTCCAACCACCATGCCACCTGCTGGCCTCTGCCCGATAGTTTTATAATCCATCTAAAGCTGATGTTTATGTATGATGGGAGGTCCAGATCAAGTCTCACATGTTTTCCATATGAACACCTAAGTGTCCCGACGTTATTCATGGACGATCCTTGCCTCACTTCTCTGCTGTGCCATCTTCGTCGCAGATCCAAGTGTCTGTACCATATCCCCCTTAAAGCTAGGCTGCAGGCTTTAGCACTTTGCATGTTACAGACACACACACAAACACATACGCACATTAAGAACACATGGTAGGTTTCTTCCGAATTGCGACATTCTCAGCAATTATTTTGTTGCTAGCATCCTATCCTGAGGGACTACAGCATCTATCAGGTAGAGGCGAGAAACGCTCCTCCTCCCTCATGGACAGGCCAGGGCAGCCCCAACCACGCAGAAGTATCTGGCTTAAAATGCAAACCGTGCCCGAGCTGGAAACCCTGACCTAACACGCGACCATCTCAGAACAGCTGAAGAGACTTGTCTAAGCAAGCCCAAATCAGAGAGGAGGAGGACCAGGGTGACATTGAAGACCAAGCCTCCGGTCCCCTCCTCTCAGCATTGGGCGCCCAGGCGTGATCTTCACGAGGATGTCCCAAGGCCCAGGAGGAACCCACTGACCCAGAGGTCCTTTTGTCCTCCTGCATCTGCCCAGTGCCGTGACTGCAGGCACCACCCAGTGCTCCAGATATGAAGCGGGACGCAGGGGTCCTCTCCCCTCAGATTCGCAAACCCACCTGGGCAGCATATCTGCTGGCCCCTTCCGTGCCAGGTGTGGCCCAAGGATTGGACCAAGCACAAGGCCCACACCAGCATCTGGCTTATGCCTTTCTCTGCAGTTCTCGCTCCAGATCTCTCCCTTTCTTTTTTTCTTTCTTTCTTTTTTTCTTTCTTTCTTTCTTTCTTTCTTTCTTTCTTTCTTTCTTTCTTTCTTCTTTCTTTCTTTTAAATGATTCCATTTAACTTTATTTATTTATTTATTCATTTGTATTTATTTCTTTTTGGAGAGGTTTTTGCTATAGGGCGCGTGTGCTCGCCAGAAAGACAGAGAGATAGAAAACGAGAAATCACCCCTCAGGGGGGATGGCCACGCCACAATCACTTCTCCATTCTCCTCTCGGGATCTTGGGCATGCACGCACACACACCCAGTGTGAGATTAAGCCACTGGGTCTGGGACTCGAACAGTGATCGGCTACATGGGATTTCAGCGACATAGCCATTCCGTGGCCCCCCCCCCCCCAGGTCTGTTTCTAATGGAGTCCTCAAGTTGGCTCCTGAGCTAGGTGTGGGGGCCGGTGAAATGGAGAGGAAGGACCTTCCAATCTGCAGGAAGGGGGGGGGGTGGCACACATGAGACCCACCCTGTTTTTATGTAAATAACATGTGGTGACACCTTCTTCACTCCCCTGAAATGACCACCATAAATAAGATGCCTGCTCATACACTTAATTTTTTAAATTCCACTGTAATGCCCAAACTATACCAGGGAGGAAAAAAATGAAAGGAAAACAATTTATAACCAAATAACACATATTTCAAAGTGTCATGCTCAGGCCCCATGACACTAGAAAACATAATGAAGTGTCAGATGCCTGGTCCTGCTTATAATAAATAAGTTAGGACTTAAAAAAATATTTATAGATCAGAAATTATTCTATACAGAACCAAAAAGTAAGGAACAGAGATATACTATCAAATGTTAAAATAAATATTTTAAATCCTTGTTTTTTATTTTTTAGCTGCAAAACAGGTTACATTTTGTAGTCTGTATATGTAACTTGGAGTCAGTTTCTGGGGTGAGATAATTCTAACAAGTTTTCATTGATCAAGACTGTTCCTTAAGAGGACCAGCAGATAGTGTAATGGCTACATCACTCAACTCCCATGTAGTTGACCGCGGTTCAAGTCCCAGACCCGGTGGCTTAAACTCACTCCAGGAGCGTGTGCGTGCGTGCTCAAGATACCAAGAGGAGAATGGAGGGGGAATCACATACACAAACAAAACCACAGAGTTAGTGCTTCAAATACTAACCTGCTAACTGGGGAAGCTGGAGTGTTTGTTTTTAATTGCCATTCAGTGCCTGAACTTGCCAGAGGAAGAGAGCGAGACAGAGAGAGAGAAAACACCCTCGATGGATGTGGTCACACTGCAACTCTTCCATCTCTCCATCCTGTCGGGATTTGGGTCATGCATGCACACACACCTGGCATGGTTTTCTAGCCTCTGGATCAGAAGTCTAACCTCACGGTCAGCCATGTGGAATCTGGCACTCTGTCTCTTTGTCTCTGACATACTCAGGCACTTTCTGAATTTTTTTTTTAAAGGAGGGGGAGGGCGCGTGTGCATGCATGCCCAAGGTCCTGAGAGGAGAATGAAGGAGAAGGGATTGCAGCGTGGCCATCCCCCCTGGGGGGTGATTTCTCACTTTCTATCTCTCTGTCTCTCTCTTTCTGGCGAGCACACGCGCCCTAGAGCAAAAACCTCTCAAAAAAAAAAAAAAAAAAAAAAAAGAGGAGGGGGAGAATGCGGGAAACAGCCTTTCATTTTCTTTACTTTTTGGGAGAGGTTTTTGCTCTAGGACGCGTGCTCTCGCGAGAAAAACAGAGAGAGACAGAGAGACAAAAAGCGAGAAATCCCCCCACCCCACCCCCAGGGAGGATGGCCACGCTGCAATCCCTTCTCCTCCATTCTTCTCTCGGGACCTTGGGCATGCTCGCACACGCGCCCCTGCATGAGTTTAAGCCATAGGTCCTGGACTCCAGCCGCGGTCGACTACATGGGAGGTCAGCGACATAGCCGTCAAGCCAACTGCTGGTCCCCATCCTTTCTTTTTCAAATTCTATATTGTGTAAATTTTTGCTTACAACCCATATTAATGTGGCAAGCAGAAAAAAAAAAAAAAAAAAAAAAAGTACCAGCTACTTTGGAAAGCAGTGTGTGAGGGCTCCCTCTAGTGTGCGTGTTTGTTTTGTTCTTTTTAAGGACTCAAACCTGCTGTGATAAAACCGTTTTTGCCAAAAGTCAAAGGAACGCAATCATTCGGGTGACGCCTTGCAGCTTACAACCCACGTTCCGGGGGTATCCCGCTCACCCAAGTCCTGTAGCTTCCCTTGCCTACACTGCCGCCCCGTGGCCAAGGTATGTACTGCACCCTCCGTGAAGCCAAGGCATGGGAGGGTCAACTGGTCTCGCTGCAGGGGTGCAAACTTCTGCACCATTATAGCTCCTTGGCAGTTTGGTGAAGCTTATGAGCCCTCCTCTTGAAATAATGGCCCTTACATAGTTAAGATAAAATGCATATGCTTAAAAGAAAACTAATAATAGTGAAATGGTTATCAAAATACTTATAATTGTGTGATATATTGATAGTAATAAAGATGCCTCTTTATTAGTGTCTTAAATAATGAATGCTCTAGTGGCAGGTCTAATAACTAATGATTTTCTAAGCACTGGGGAGTAGACACTGTCTTCTGAGGTATAGCAACCATTTGATATGTTTGGGTCTGTGACTTTTATTGGTAACAATGTTACAGTTACAGCTGACAATGCTAAATATAATTCCAGATGGTTAAAGGCAACCTGACATCTTCCCATCCAAATACGTGGACTCCCTGGATTTCACACGCAGAACCCTTGGGATGCATGGAGCACAGGATAAAGCCCTCAGGAAGGGGCACACGTTTGGGGGAAGCACTTGTGTGGGTTTCTGGCTAGGAAATTAACTGCAGGGTTGGCACACGTGTGGGCGCGCTAAGTCAAGGGACCGGCTCAGGCACCACGCGGGCTGGGTGGAGGGGTGACCCAGACGGCCTCTCCCCTCCCTTTCTCGTCCTGATCTCGTGCTTCTAGAGGAAACTGAAGTCCCAGTGGCCCAGAGAGGAGCTCACAGTTCCCGGCGTCTGCTCACCAGTGTCCTGCGCCCACCATGTGGCCCCTGGTCGTATTGTGGGGCTGCCTGGTGCTCCCAGGTGAGATTGGGGGGAGAGGGAGGACTCATGCTCAAGCTCACCCTTGGGGTCTGCAGATAGAGGACCTCCTGAACTGACCCGTCCTTCCTCCCAGTGCTTGTGGCTGTGACTGCCCAGTGCCCAGCCGCCTGGTCCTGCAGGCTTTACCCTGCCTGACCCAGCTCCACCCCACCCCACTCTCCTCAGCCTCTCAGCCCTTAGAGGAAGCTGGCACTTGCTGTTTCTGGAACCATGAGCCAGATTTTCTTTGGGACCTGTGAGTTCCAGCCCCTTTGTGTCTGTGTGGCTAAGTAGCTTTTCCCGTGTCAGCTTGCTCTGTTAAACGCAGCGAATGTTTATGGACTGTGTGCTGTGCTACTCGCACAACGCTGGCCTGCCTTTCTTCCTTACCACTGAGCACCTAAAATCAGATAGGTCTCATAACTAACATCAGTTGTTCAGTCGGTAATGCTTTTCATGGTGGTACATAAAATCACGGTGTGTTTTTTATATGACAGCATCTTAAATTCCAAGACATAGAGCATTATCAGCATCTGTAAATGAGAAACTCAGAGGCCCAGGAAGCTAAGCAACTTCTCTCTCTCTTTTTTTTTTTTTTTTTTTTTTGAGAGGTTTTTGCTATAGGGCGCGTGCGCTCACCAGACAGAGAGAGACAGAGAGACAAAAAAGCGAGAAGGGGATGTCCCGAACCCGCGGGACGAATCGGGCAGGGAAACTCGAGCGAGGGGGCGGAGGTCTGGAACCGGCGCAGCGTCTCAGCACGGGAGCGAAAGAAGTATCACAGCTCACAGTGTCACAGCTCTTGATGTAAAGGTTTCGCTCATTTATTGAGGGCTAGAGC